GTGGATTTATTGTGTTCTTTTTCTGCTTATTTTGTCTCAGTGTTTCACCATTTTCAGTTAATCACGATTTCAAACCAAAATTTTGTTAAAAAAATATTAATTTGGGTTGAAGAGCTTCAACATACAGGATTATTAACCATTACAGGAACACACAGAATTACTCAAATATATTACTTTGGGGAGTACAAATAACAATAGTAATAATAATAATGATAGTAATAAAAAAATAAAGTAATAATAATAAAAATAAATAAATAATGATAATAAATAATAATAAAAATAATAATACATTTGTCAAACTCTTTATATGGCAAACAAATGAGAAAATCATTTAACTTTTAGCAAGCTGTGTTTTCTTTCCTTTGTCTCCTTTTACAACATATAATAATATAATTTATATTATAATACAATATAATAATAACCAACAACTTAAAAATGACTAATTTACTCTTGAAGCTACTCAGAGTTTTAAATCATTACCCAACAAGCACTTAAACTAAAGCCTCCTGAGCTCTTTCATCCTAATTTTGGTGGGAAAATATCCCAAATATAATCTGTGAGTAAGACTGAAAACCCACAGAATCAGAAGTAAAGTAGAAAATGACTCTCTACTTTAGATTTTCAATTCAAATATCTCTCTTTGGCGAGTAGAAATAATGACAACAATAATGACAATAATAATAATTATTATTATTATTAAATTAAACTTAATAATAATTTGATAACTAATAGCTTAAAAATAGCTAATTTACTCTTGAAGCTGGTTAGAGTTTAAAATCATTACCCAACAAGCACTTAAACTAAAGCCTCCTGAGCTCTTTACTCCTAATTTTGGGGAAAAAAATATTCCAAATATATTCTGAGTAAGACTGAAAACCCACAGAATCAGAAGCAAAGTAGAAAATGACTCTCTACTTTAGAGTTTCAATTCAAATATCTCCCTTTGGTTAGTATAAATAATAACAACAATAATGACGATAATAATAATAATTATTACATTCAATTTAATATTAACTTAAATTTGTGTTTTCAACAGGCTGTGTTTTATTTCCTTTGTCTCCTTTTACAAAATATAATAATAACTAAAAGCTTAAAAATAGCTAATTTACTCTTGAAGCTGGTTAGAGTTTTAAATCATTACCCAACAAGAACTTAAACTAAAGCCTCCTGAGCTCTTTCATCCTAATTTTGGGGAAAAAAATATTCCAAATATATTCTGAGTAAGACTAAAAACCCACAGAGTCAGAAGCAAAGTAGTCTGTCTCAGAAATAATAAAAATAAGCTGAAAGTTAGCCTTTGTTACCTCGGTGGGTTGAAGATGTCAGGAGCTGGAGGACGGAGTCTCAGAGTGTCTGCAGCTCTGTGGAGGATCTGATTTGTGGACAGCAGGAGGCCGCTTTTATCCTCTAATGTCCAGATAAAGATGGCCGGTTTGGCTCGGGACAGTCGGGAAACAGTGTGTCAAGTCCTCCGTTATCACCATGTTTTCTGTTCTGATACACAGTCACCTCAAAACCTCATAACCTGAGACACTTTGATCCCAGTTTCAACCATCTGGAAAGTCAGGAAACACAAAGTAAAGCGAACAAAACTCGACTTTATCCACGTTTTAAGAGCTAAACTTCGATAAACCTTTACAATTTCCATGTTTAATTATGCTCATCATGCAAAAAAAACCCAATCTACCTCATTTAGAACAAATTAACTTAAGTCTTAAGATGGTAAAACAAGACTGAAAGTATAATGTCTAAATGTCATTATGTGTTTTTTGCATTTAAAAAACTGTTTGTTTGGTAAAAATGACCAAAACCTCAAGAATCATTAAAAAAAAAAGCACACTGATGCAAAAAAGTAAAAGATATGTCAAAGAAAATGTTAAAATAAATCAAGAAAGT